TAGGTGTTTACGTTTGGCATTTGAGGAAGACCAGGTGGGGAGGCATAGGTGAGCTTGGGAAGTATGAATGTTGTGTATACACTGAGGAGCTCGTGTGGGAACTCGAGGACTTGAGTCGGCGGAGGTGGAGACGGAAACTGGAGGATTTGACAACTTCACTGACGTGTGGTTTCCAATTTAGTTTGTTGTCTATGGTGACGCCGAGGAGCTTCGTGGAATCTACAACCTGGGTGTGTTCGGACCTAGGGTAATGGAAGGAGGTGGGACAATGTCGGAGGAGAGGTTGATGTGCATAACCATGGTCTTGGTATGGTTGATGGTGACATGGTTGTTGGTGGCCCAGTTTTGGAGACTGGTCAATAAATCCTGAAGGGCGGTATAGTTGGGAGCAGAATTGTTGACGCTGATCCCAATGGTGGAGTCGTCGACATATTTCCAGCGAGCAGGGGTTTCTCTTGGGGCATCATTTGATGAGCAGGAAGCAGAGTGGTCCCATCTTGGTGGCCTTGGGGGACGCCACAGGTGAGTGACTGAAGGTGGAGACAGCCCTCGGAAGCGTGCAGCTTGGCGTCGGTCACTGAGGAAGTCTGTAAGCCATGGTATGAGACTTCTCCGAAGCCCGAGGTCAATAGCTTTGTTTATGATTATATTGGTCGACTAGGTCGAACGCTTTAGTATGAAATCGCGACAGCTACAGACGTTTTCGTTTTCGAGATGGCGGTATATGTAATCGAGAAAGCTGACAACAGAGTGGTGAGGAAGTTTTCATGTTGCCAAATTGCTGAGGGTCTACGACTCCTGCAATATCAGCATAAGCCCAGTCAAACACAAAACTTTCACAGATTAGGCTGGGTATTGGGGTGATTGCAATAGGTCGTAGCTGATTTAGGATTGTGGGCTGGTTGACGGCTCTGGTGATACATAAGAGGTCTTCCAGTCAGCTGGGCATCTGGCTTGACTGAGGTGATGATGGAGCAGAGGGTTTAGCAAGCTCGGGGAGAACTCCTTGAATAGTTTCATTGGTAAGTCAATGGGGTGGTAGAGCGTTTTAATTTTAGGTTTGTCCAGGCGTTTTGCTACGTCAAATTCTCTACTAAGTCAGTGGGAAGGGGGCTGGTAGGTCAGCAGGGGAGTGGTTGTGTCAAGCCGGGGAGCGTCTGGCATATAGTAGCAGGAAATGGTTATTTGTGTGTGTGTGTGTGTGTGTGTGTGTGTGTGTGTGTGTGTGTGTGTGTGTGTGTGTGTGGTGATCTCGTTTGAGGGCTTCATTATTTGTCTCCTAGAGGCTTTCACATTTGGACACTCACTTGGCTTCATTTATGGGGTTCATCTTCAATCACTGGTTATCATCTCTTGGAAGGCTGCACCAGTGCACCAATCACCCCTTACCTCTCTCTCCTTACACCTCCCATACCCTCCTCTCTCCCTCTCTCTCCCTTCCTCCCTCCCCTTCCAAACCCTCCCTCTCTCCCTCTTCCCTCCCTCCCCCTCCAAACCCTCCCTCTCTCTCCCCTAAAAGAAACCTCCATTGATGAAGGACACTACATCTCTTATGAGGGTTCCACAATCACCTCCCCTCCCCTACAATTTACCTCTTTACAAAGGCTTCCAAAATCACAGGTTTTCATATCCTATAAGAGGCTTCCATACTAGATTATCGGAAACCTTTTAATTAGAAACTCTCTCTCTCTCTCTCTCTCTCTCTCTCTCTCTCTCTCTCTCTCTTCTCTTATATAAATAACAATCTAAGTTATTTACGTATCACAATAAAGAGAAATTACCCTCACTACGGTATACACTCACTACGGTATACACTCACTACGGTATACACTCACTACGGTATACACTCACTACGGTATACACTCACTACGGTATACACTCACTACGGTATACACTCACTACAGTATACACTCACTACGGTATACACTCACTACGGTATACACTACAGTATACACTCACTACGGTATACACCTCACTACAGTATACACTCACTACAGTATACACTCACTGCGGTACACTCACTACAGTATACACTCACTACGGTATACACTCACTACAGTATACACTCCTACGGTATACACTCACTACGGTATACACTCACTACAGTATACACTCACTACGGTATACACTCACTACGGTATACACTCACTACGGTATACACTCACTACAGTATACACTCCTACAGTATTCACTCACTACGGTATACACTCACTCACGGTATACACTCACTACGGTATACACTCACTACGGTATACACTCACTACGGTATACACTCACTACGGTATACACTCACTACAGTATACACTCACTACGGTATACACTCACTATGGTATACTCACTACGGTATACTCTCACTACGGTATACTCACTACGGTATACACTCACTACGGTATACACTCACTACGGTATACACTCACTACTGTATACACTCACTACGGTATACACTCACTACAGTATACACTCACTACGGTATACACTCACTACAGTATACACTCACTACGGTATACACTCACTGGTATACCCTCACTACGGTATACTCTCACTACGGTATACACTCACTACGGTATACCCTCACTACGGTATACACTCACTACGGTATACACTCACTGGTATACCCTCACTACAGTATACACTCACTACGGTATACACTCACTACAGTATACACTCACTACGGTATACCTCCTACGGTATGATCACTACGGTATACTCTCTCACTACAGTATACTCCTACGGTATACCTCACTACGTATACACTCACTACGGTATACACTCACTACGGTATACACTCACTACGGTATACTCACTACGGTATACACTCACTACAGTTATACACTCACTACGGTATACACTCACTACAGTATATACACTCACTACGGTATACACTCACTACGGTATACACTCACTACGGTATACACTCACTACGGTATACACTACGTATACACTCACTACAGTATACCCTCACTACGGTATACTCTCCTACGGTATACACTCACTACGGTATACCCTCACTACGGTATACACTCACTACGGTATACACTCACTACGGTATACACTCACTACGGTATACACTCACTACGGTATACACTCACTACGGTATACACTCACTACGGTATACACTCACAAGTATACACTCACTACGTATACCTACTACAGTTCACTACGGTATACACTCACTACAGTATGCACTCACTACGGTATACACTCACTACGGTATACCTCACTAACTGGTATACCCTCTACGGTATACTCACTCGGTATACCTCACTACGGTATCCTCTCGTATCACTTCTCACTGGTATACACCTCACTACAGTATACACTCACTACAGGTATACACTCACTACAGTATACACTCACTACGGTATACACTCACTACAGTATACACTCACTACGGTATACCTCACTACAGTATACACTCACTACAGTATACACTCACACGAGTATACCTCACTACAGTATACACTCACTACGGTATACACTCACTACAGTATACACTCACTACGGTATACACTCACTGCAGTATACCTCCTACAGTATACACTCACTACAGTATACCTCACTACAGTATACACTCACTACAGTATACCTCACTACAGTATACACTCACTCAGTTATCACTCACTACGGTATACACTCACTACAGTATCACCTCACTACAGTATACACTCACTACAGTATACACTCACTACAGTATACACTCACTACAGTATACACTCACTACAGTATACACTCACTACAGTATACACTCACTACAGTATACACTACAGTATACACTCACTACAGTATACACTACTACAGTATACACTCACTACAGTATACACTCACTACAGTATACATACTACGGTATACACTCACTACAGTATACACTCACTACGGTATACACAAGGTCACACAACATCCTCTGACCTTAATCTCCCAAAGTTATTTTTCATATAATCTCATAATTACTGATAATTTATTTTTCTCTACAGGCTCCCACATTCATCAGTGTTGGGCAGTAGCGATAATCAAAGAAATAATTATAATACGATAAACCAAAAAATAATTACGATAATCCGAAATTTAATTATGATAGGGAAAAATAATTGTAATAATCAAAAAAATTAATCCTCTTGTTTGGGATATTTATAACAGTAATTACAAAAAAAAGAGCAAAAATCTGAATGTTAATACGGTAATCAGAATAGAAATACGATAATCCAAAAAGCAATACCGAAAATTATCCCAGTAATCAAAACGAGTTCGATAATCAGAACATAAATACGATAATCAGATTATTAATGCCATCCCCCCCCCACCACAAACAAAATAAATAATAAATAAAAATATTACGGTAATCAGAAAATTACTACGATTTTCGGACAACTAACACGATAATTGGATAATAATAACACTAATAAAAAATAAATTAAGTTATCAGATAAAATCAATGCAATAATTAAAAAAATATTCAGGTAATCGAAATATGACAAATATTTAAGAGTTACACCTAAATTGACCTTATAATACCGTTTTATTTCTGCTTAGTATAAATTAAACCAGGGACGGGTTAAACCAGGGACGGGTTAAACCAGGGCAGGCTAAACCAGGGCGGGCTAAACCAGGGGCGGGCTAAACCAGGGACGGGTTAAACCAGGGACGGGTTAAACCAGGGACGGGTTAAACCAGGGGCAGGCTAACCAGGGGCAGGCTAAACCAGGGGCAGAATTTTCAACATCCTCGTGGCCTCCTTCGTGTTCCCCCACAAATAATGTTGACAAATAGAAATGCAGATGAAGAATAGCCTTATTTTATCTCAAGGTTTATCTTATATTTTGATGAACACAGTTTACATAACTGACGTCCGCTAGACTAGAGTGACTACTAGACAAACCTCACAGCAAACTTGAATTTGGTTGGGAAAAAGTTCAAATGACCTCTGCATATTTTATCACAGCTCAATGGGAAGGCTGACATTGTTCCGTTCAGTCAGGTAGTTGATCCGAGGTTGTGTCACTGACAATGCACATCTCCATGTCCAGGTCCATCCAGTCAGTTTCAGCTTTACTCTTTACATGTAGAAGGGTGGAGAAAACAGATTCGCATAAATAGGTAGTTGAAAAAGGCAAGAGGACTCGAAGTGCAATCTCAGTAACTTTTGGATATGATTGATACATTGAGCACCAGGGAACACAGTCGAGATGTTTCTTCGCAAAGAGATCTTTGGCAGCAGAATCATTCTTGAGATCAAGAAATTCGTCTGTTTATCATTGGGAATGTTGGCAATATCAAAGTGCCAGAGAAAGGATTCTCACCTATTTCCCGTCTTCCTCCTCGAATTCTGGGAAATACTTTTTTGAGCTCACACTTTCCAAGGATTTCCAGGTGCTGAGTAGTTTCAGTTTTGAGTGATGGGTCAAGCAGATGATCTTCATTCTCATCAAGAACAGTTGAAAGATTCTCAAACGCCGTGGCATTTCCTGCATTGACTTTCCTTGCCAATTCTGGAGCTTAGCAAGAAATGCACAAAACCATCCATGAGGTGAACACATTTCTGTCCTTGCCCTGCAACCGAGATTCAGCCTGTTCCAGCTGCTCAAATATATCTGCTACATATGCAGAACGTGGCTCCCCACAACACCTCGTGAAGTGACTTAATAGATCATCTTTCCATACACTTCAGGAACAACAAGCTCCCCAGAAGTTCAAACACTCGATTCTAACATTGCTCTGAATCATGTCTCTGAAGGTTCTGGAAAAAGCGAGAGTTCAGATCGCCAGCTTTCACAAAGCCCTGACACATTTTACCCTGCCTCCAGGATCTTACGAGGATTCTTCAGGGAGGTTTTTCGACGCCAGTGCAAAACGATGCATCAAACAATGGCTCCTTGGCATTCAGAATACTTCCATCAATACGCTTTTGGAACCCGATTTTGATCCCAACATCGCCTGAGTCCATCCATACCAGACTCTGTGTAATTTTCCCAGCTGATCCTGTTAGCTGTGAAGAAACTGAACAGCTTTCCGCCATCCCCAGCTGTTGTGGTGAATTACTCAAGCTGTGTACAAGGCAGATATTCCTCCTTGACGTCACACAAGAAAACATATAACAAACACTAGTAGCTGTGTACGAAACCACGTCCGTTGACTCATCAGCTGTGTTGCAAACACCAGTTAAGGAATAATTTGATCTCCTGTGTCACTTTTTTTTCGCTATGTCATCTGACATTTCATAAATTCTCCGTTTCACTGTATCGTTTGACAAGAAATTTGTTGAATTTTACGTTCACTGCCTCTCCAAGAACCCCGTTTGAGCCATTTTAAAGCACATGGCTTCATTAAAGTTCACCAATTGTATGGGGCTTCTTTTGCTTTGCTATTTCGAGGAAACCTCATTGTGAGTGCACCTCAACTACACTTACGGTCTGTTGTTGGAAGGCACCACTCTCATCAGTTCTTCCCAAACTCTGCGTTTCACGCGCCTGAAGAAATCAGTGTCTCTCCGCATACTGTGGATGGATCGTCATCAGATGATGCTTCAGCCTACTAGGCCTCATAAATCGTTCCCCAGCACTTTGGATACAGCACACTGGGGTTTCTCGAAAATGCCATCAGCGAGGATTGACGTAAATCCATGATTAATGTATCCGTGATGTACTTCGCTTCTTAGCAACACTAGTAGCCATCACAAATCTAGAGAAATAAAAGAAGAGAATGTCAGAACAGACAAACAGACAGAAGTAAAGACTAAAGAATGATAAAGAAAGGACAGATAAATAGGATAAGAGGTAGAATAGCAAACACACACACACACACACATTCATACATTCACATACATAACACACCCATACTCACATAAAAGTACACATACAGTCATACTGAAACATACACACGATAAACATTCACACTCAAGCAGAGCAAGCTGAAGTGTAGCTATATAACAGAATACATACTCCTTTGACAAAAGCACCCAACTTGGAAGAATAGAAGAAATAGTGGAAGTCATACAATTTATCACTAAAAATGGTAGGATTATATAAGTAAAGAATGAGTATATAGACGCAATGGCACCAATAAATAAGGAATTAATTAATAAAGGAAGTGTACAAATATTTCACTTGCCCGTAAAGCAGCAACCCACATAGTTATGAAACAAAATAAAGTAACACCAATTACGGAGCATATTATGCTTGAAGTCAGCTCAAACACAATATATATGGTTCAGAGACAATACACTCCACTGTTTTTCGTGATAGTATCCCAAGGCCAGACTGCAGATCATTCAGTTCTATCACCACTTGCAAAGGGATGACACACGGACACATGCTGAACAAGTGGTTGGCAGCTTGGTCAGCGCCTGTATCACGGGCAGAGGACTGGACCTGTGAAATCTTAAAAAAAAAAAAGCACCAGCGTATGTAAATATTAAAATTGCATTATCATTATGATTAAACAAATGACAAAAAAAAAAAAAAATTCTCTTCTGCCAGAATCAAAATAAGTAATACAAGTTTTTTGTTTAATTGAGATTCCCAACATTATTTGGAAACGTACCATTACTTACGTGGCTCCAGGTTGAGAACCACTGCCCTAAACCGTAATAACAGGTGTATATCTTAAACCCTGTGTTACCGTTTTATATTTAGGCTGTAGGTAATAATACTAATGTAATATATATTGTTTATCTTTGGGTGTTAATGAAATGGTTGTAAATAGAAGGGTGGAAGGTAGGGGGAGAGGAGGCAAGGAGGGGTAAGGGGAGAGGCGGCAGGGGGAGGGTAAGGGGAGAGGCAGGGGAGGGAAGGATGAGGGGAAGAGAAGACTGGGGAAGAGGAAGCAGGGGAGGGAAGGTGAGGGGGAAAGAGGAGGCAGGGTAGGGAAAGGGTGGAGGAGGCAAGGGAGAGAAGGGTGAGGGGGAAGGGGGCGGCAGGGTAGGGAAGGGTGAGGGGGGCAGGGGGGAGAAGGGTGAGGGGAAGAGGAGGCAGGTGGGTGGGGAAGAGAGAGGGAGAGGGTAAGTGGGGGAAGAGAAGGCATGGGAGGAAGGATGAGGAGAGGCAGAAGGGTGGAGAGGGGAGAAGAGGTGGGGGGAGGCAGGGAAGGGAAGGGTAAAAGGGAGGAGGAGGAAGGGTTAAGGGAGAAGTCACGGAGGGAAGGATGAGGGGGAGATGAGGCAGGGTAAGGAAGGATGAGGGGAAGAGGAGACAAGGGGAGGGGTAGGAGAAAAGGAGGCGGGGAAGGAAGGGTGAGGGGAGGAGGCAGGGGGAAGGAAGGGTGAGGGGAGAGGAGGCAGGGGGGAAGGAAGGTGAGGGGGAGAGGAGGCAGGGGAAGGAGTACCAACTGACTGATGTTTAACTTGGCTGGTAGATGAGGTCGCAGCCTCCAAGAATATCCCTTTCTCCCCCCCCCCCAGCCACGGGGAGGAGGTGGGGGTGAGGGGACGGAAAAAAGGAGAGAAGAGCAGGAAGGGGGGTGGAAGTGGAAGGGACAGGAGAAGGTGAAGAAATAAGGAGTGAATGAAGGAATGTGTAGGAATAGGGACGGGCGAGGAAGGAAGGAGATGGGAGATGGAGGAAGGATAGAAGGAGGGAAGACAAGGAGGAGAAGAGATCGAAACAGTGGAAGAGGGAATGGGAGGGAGGGGGGAGAGATGAAGAGGAGGACTATAGCAGTGGAGAGGAGATAAAGAAGAAGTAGAGAATGGGAGGAAGAGAGAGAGAGGAGGAGGGAGGCAGTGGGGGAGATGCGAGGGGTGGGTAGATGGGGATGGGAAGGAGGTGGGCAGAAGCGAGGGGTGGTAGATGGGGAGGGGGGAGACGTGAATAGAGAGAGGAGAGACAGGGTGGGGAGGAGGGGAGAGGAAAGACAAGGTGGGGAGAGAGAGAGAGAGGGTGGGGAGGATACATGAGTGGGGGAGAGAGGAGACAGTCGCTATTAAGTTGTTGTTGCTACAGTGATCAACTCAGAAACCAAGCTTAAAATAGTCTGAGTTCAACTATTTTCTTATTTGTATTTATTTTCTTCATTAAACTGTTTATTTTATTTTGATATCCAATTTTTAATTCATTTTATTCTGTTTATTTATTTCCTTCATTTATGTAATTTTATTTATTTTATTTTTATTTAAATCGTCAATTTATTTTTCGTTAAGAATTTATGATGTTTGTTGGTGTTTTATTGTTGTTTTATTTGTATTTTATGTTTGTATTTTGTTGTGTTTTATTACCAAAGTTTTATTAATGATTTTATGGAAGAGATGAACTACTGTTGTGTGGCTTAAGAGGCCATTCACCTTCTCCTCCTCTTCCTCCATCCACTCCTCCACTTCTTCTTCTTCTTCTTCTTTCTTCTTCTTCTTCTTTCTTCCTCCTTGTCTCCACCTCTCACTTCCGCCTCCTCTCTCCATGACGCCCATCATTCATTCGTTTCCCTCTCACAAAAACACAACACACACACACACACACACACACACACACACACCTTAACTAGTAAACAAGTGACTAGACCCATGCAACAAGTTCAGTGCAGTAGACAGTTGGGCAAGACAATAAACAAACACAGACACTAAACAAACACAGATAATAAACAAACACAGGCAATAAACAAACACAGTCAATAAACAAACAAATAGACAATAAACACACACACATATTAAACAAACACAGACACTAAGCAAACAAAACAGAGACACTAAAACAAACAGAGACACTAAACAAACAAACACAGACAAAACAAAACACAACAATAAAACAAAACAGAGACACTAAACAAACACAATAAACAAACAGAGACACTAAACAAACACAATAAACAAACACCAAGAGAGAGAATCAGAGTATGAAGCCAAGTAGTTTATCACTGAGCCATATTTGACTGAGAAAGATTCGTCAGATATTTTCCCCCCAAAAGTCTTCAAGATGTTTACATTATGAAGTGTGTTTCTCAGGCTCCTCAAGAGACCCTTCCGTGTTTACGTTGTTATCTCCTGAACCAACAAATGAGCGAGTGAGAGAGAGAGAGAGAGAGAGGGGGTGATAGAGAGAGTAAGGGTAAAATGAAAGAGAGGGAAAGGGAAATAGAGAGAGAGAGAGAGAGTAAATGATAGTTAGAAAAGGAAAATGAGAGAGAGAATAGGAGAAAACGAAAGAGAAAGGGAAAATGAAATAGAAAAAGAGAGAGAGAGAGGGGAGAGAGAGAGAGAGAGGAGAGAGAGAGAGAGAGAGAGCCAATCTCCAAGACCACACCATTCAGAGCTCACGTTTGAGGTGGTTTTAAATATCTTCTATAAGTATCGTATCTCTAAGTGTGCATTTATAAGTAATAAGTAAAAGCTGGAATTTATAGTTCTTAAGTAATGGGAACTACACAATTGATTAGTATGCACTACTGTCTAATTCGTAAAGGTACTCCACACACATTTTTGGGGGGGGGGGGTGAGTCCATGGTTGCTGCTTCACATACGCCACAGTTCAAGAGTTAAGATTCGTTTTTTCCCGCTCTTTTTATAGCTTACTCCACAAAAGCTACAGATGAACATTTATGATTTTAAATTCATTATTTGAGTTATCTTACATAACTTATCGTACTGTCGGAGAGAGACTTAGGATTTGTTTACGATTATCTAGCTCACTGTTGCTTCACATACACCACAGTTATAGACTTAGGATTTCTTTATATCACGTAAGTTATAATACTCCTTTATAAACAACTAATATATTTATTCCCCTTTCGTATAGTGTAAAGAGAAGGTTGATAACGAAGAAAACAAACAGGAAGGGAATAAGGAAGGGTGTGGTCAAACCTTAT